TCCTCACTGCTGTTAAGACATTTTATATTCTTAAGAGACTGCAACCATCATAAATGTGAGTCAGTGGCCAAGCATCTGAATTTTGATCATGTGACAATGGGGATGCTGCAACGGTCTTGAGTAAAACAGCCATATGTCACTTTTTCCAATGCTGTTGTAACGTCAAACGGTCACTAAATGAACTGTTGTAAGTCAAGGACTACCTGTATTTTATTTACAGCATAGGGAAGACAATATACAAGCCAAACACACACACACACACACACACACACACACACACCCCTCCCTTTAATTAAATCATCTAGGAACTTGGAACTGCATAGCAGACAATCATTATTTCATTAGAAATGAAGCAAGATCTGATTGGAAGGATTCCTTGTTGATGAGATATTGTTGTTCAGTGTAGTTGTGCTGATTTGTACAGCAATAAGAGCCCATATTATCATGTGATAATAAAGGTGACAAAAACAGCAATATTTCTTCATTATTATTATTTTTTTGCATCTGCTGATGGCCAGTTTAGGAAGATCTAGTCCCTTCAGGGTAGCTGTGAGGAACAGGTGGGCTATCTGGTGGATAAAGTCACTCAAAAATACTGCAACTCGAATTCTGAACAGGTCCAGTTGAGATAGGTCCAGTGTTTTAATGTGACCTGGGGAACTCCTGAGGAAATCAGCTAAATCCTCTGTAGTAACAGATCAGCCATCCTTCTGGATTATGAAAGCAGCCACAAAATGATACGTGGTTAGGCCCATGCTCTAGTGTTGGCTTCATGGTAAGGTATTACCTACTGTGAAGGAGGCACTTTCTCTTCAAGAGACCAGGTCAATAGGTAATTAATGTCCTGTCTCCAACCTTTCCTTTTTAGGGACAGTTGTTGAAAAGGTGGTCAGTCTGCAGTTGATGAGAACCCTAGGTTATCTAGATCCATTCCAGTTAGGTTTCTAACCAGCATTTAGTACAGAAGCCACCTTGGACACACCTGTAGTTGGCCCATGGTAGAGCCAGGGTGGAGGTGTTACATCCAACCTTATGCTCCTTGATCTCTCAGTGGCTTTCAGTGCTGTCAATCATGGAATTTTCCTAGACTGAGTTTGGGTATCAGGGTCACAATTTTCCAGTGGTTTACTTTCTTCCTCTTAAGCCAGTTTCAGTTACTATTGGTTAGAAGAGGAGAGTTACTCCCTAGCTGGCTTCTTTGTGGGGTGCCACAAGTTTCAACTCTCTCTCAATAGAAACACATATTTGCTGAGCTTATTCACCAGTTTGGAGTCTCATTAGTATATTGGTGGTACCCAAGTATACACTTCTTACAAACAGAAGCAAGAAAACAAACACTTCTGGCAAAAACTGTAGCCTCTCTAATACATAAGATTCGTGATGGCACAGTGGTTAGAATGCAATGTTGCAGGCTGACTCTGCCCGCTGCCAGGAGTTGGACCGGCTCAAGGTTGACTCAGCCTTCTATCTTACTGAGGTCAGTAAAATGATTGTTGCGGGAAAGATGCTAACCCTGTAAGTGGTATATAAATAAGTGCTATTGCTAAAGGTCTCCTCTCTATTGCACTTCTGCCTAATATCTTGCAAGACTTCACATATGTTAATTCCAGTTCCCTCTCATGACTTCCCAATGAATGTCCGGTATATATGTACAGCACACAAATGTGCTTCTTAAATTAAAAATATGCAAGAAGTAAGGAAGGAGTTTCTAAATCCACAAATGCAGGAAGAGTGCTATTCTATAGATGAGCAAACAGAAACAGTATCTGAATGCTCAGACTTTGTTTTTTACTTATTCAACTTTACATCTTTCTAGTTGAAAAGTAACACAGAGTAATTTGTAGTATTTGACGCTACCATTTGAGAAAACCAAAATGCAATCACACAATTTTTACCATGGTATCTTGTTCAATTTAGGCAGAGAACAAACAAATCACAGGTTTGTTCATTTAACCATTTAATCAATCAAGCTGTTATCAATGAAATGGTTTTTTAAAAGATTAAAGCTAACCACAACAGTGGAATAAGCAATGCATATCTAGATTTTTATCTGGACAGGCTAGTAAATTGTTTTTTAAGAGCACTTTTTACTGTGTAAAATAACAAAATATCCTTAACCGAATAAAGATTTATTATCCATGTTAAAAAATAAATCTTTTCAAACAACTGACTGATTTCCAATTATAATAGTTCAGGGTTTCCCCAACCTGAACACGATGCAGGAAGGTAAATTTCAACTTTCACATTTCTGGGAAATGACATTGCTGATTACAGAAATCTCAAAAAAATTGTTCTTTATTTATTTATTTACTTATAGTCATATCATGAGCAGCTTACAATTAAGAACGTCTATCGAGATTCTCAGCCATCCAGGTTATGGTTGTCCCAAAGGTGCTTTTTCAAAAGGCAACTGGACTTTGCACTTCTCATCCAAGAAGTTTCTTCTGTTCTGACTGAATGGTGGAAGATGGAAGGACATACATTCCTTGCAATCACCTGGTCGTTAGCATTCTTTCTGAGGGTCCTTGAGACCACTTGGAGGTTTATCTGTGCCCTCAGGGTCACCTGAATAGTGTAAATGGGTATGGAACCTTCTTGGAATTGCTGAAAGGACTGTGTCATAAACAGGAAATAGATGATGTCATATTCGCCCCCCCCCCATCTGTAACAACTAGATGACTGTAAAGAATATAAATCCCTCCATCCTCCACAATTCAGAAGAAGCTTCTTGGATGAGAAGCAAAACATCTTCAAGGAAAAGCAAAGTCCAGTTGCCTTTTGAAAAAGCACTTTGGGGACAATGATTAAGAACAGCGTTTAAAAAACAAGAAAACAACAACAAACATAAACTGCAACCACGGTAAAAGCAAACTCTCCATACCTCCTGATCCCCAGGCCCAGTGACCTTACAAAATGGTGTCAGGGTTGAGGACAATCTATTCCCTGGGGGTGGAATGATATTCTGAATAGCAAAAACCATGAGAAAAGGCGAGTTTGCTGGGCCTTCCCCCCCAAAATGAGACCAGGAGAGCATGCCTTTTCTTCCAGATCTACCTGGGGACAGGTAGATATAAGTGGGGAGAGACAGTCTATCAAATTATCTAATCCCATGTCATGAAAGGCTTTATAGGTTAGAATCAGCACCTTAAATGAACCCAGAAGCATACTGGCAATCAATGCAGCTCATGGGACAGAGATGTGACATGCACTGAGCTTGGAGCACACCTAACTGCCTGCTCTCCTTGAACATAACCTGTAACAATCTGTCTCACTTTACCGAGGCTGAGAGTACATATTTAGGCTGTGCATCACTTTAGATTGCTGCATGATCTCGGTACATATTAGGATAATTCTAAAGAACAGCAAGCATCCAGGAAAAAAAAATGCATTAACAGATTATCTGAAGATGCTAATTCCTCCAGCACAGAAAGAGAGTGAGCTTATACTATGCAGTAAATGCATGATATGATACTGAGGAAAAAGTGTGGTGTAGTGATTTGAAGCAGAGAGAACTAGGTCATCAAGTCACCTTGGATAAATAATTATCTCTCACCTTAAACTACTTTGAGAAAGAGTTATGAAAACAGTAGTAGAGGATGAGCAAGGATCTAGTTCCCTAGAGGAAGCAGAGGATAAAAATTAAACAACTCTGACAGATCACAGACTGTTATGTCCCTCAGACTGCTATCCAAGATGCCTGCCCAGGAATGATGCTGGTGAACTTAGGGCCAAAATCCTAACTCCTGTAGCAAAGACCGGATACTCCACTGTGTCTATCTTGCCCCAAAGATAAGGCAAGGAAAAGTTCTAATGTTGCTTCCTTCAGGAGGAGTCATCTCCTTTCCCACTTTCAGAAGAAGAGAAAAGGAAAGGTGGAGATCTCTTAAGGTTGAGGGAGCCCTTGAGAAGCCTTGATGGGCATTGACTGGTCTCTGAAGTAAGACAGGGCTGGAACTAAGAAGGGGCTCTCTCTTCCAAGAGGCAGCGATATCACAGCTTTCCTATAGCTCTGCTTCTGCAGAAAGTGAGAGGGAAAGATATACTCACTGTAAAATGTCCTGCCAGGACCTAAAATTGGAATATGTTAAAATTTTGTACACCACCACATTGTGGCACACTTGATGAATAATTACACCCTGGGGAATTAAATAGGTCCTCAGTTGGCTTCCTCATCTTTAACCTCCAATTATGTTACAAACTAAGCACTGCCATATTCTTGCTGTCTGTTGGCATGGAAAAACAATGCTTGGACAACTGCCCGGGGGGGGGGGGGGGAGAGACTACAAACTGTCCCTACTTCACACCTGATCGTCATCCACCACTTCACCTGATCGTCATCCACTACTTTTCAGCCTAAAATTAACACTACCATCATTTTTGCCTTAGATTTCTCTGAAAAGAAACAAGAGAACGATACTTCGCTATTAACAATGACATGGATGTACTTTTATAGAACACAGCATTTAGTTATCTTAAGTTCAGGAAGAAATATCTGGGCAACAGCATGCAGCCAAGTTTTTGTACAACTTCAGCTTCAGGTCGGATTCGATCCCCCTGTCCACAATAAAAAGCAAGTCTAAGGTTTATTCCTCTTCAGACAGAGCCGTGCATTCGTTCTGCACCAATTATAACCTACTCACCAACTTTCAAGTCAAGTAGTTTACGTATCCTGCCCCCAAATATAATTTTAAAAGTCTTTATTAAAGGATATTGAAATATATGGAAAATCCATTAGGTGAATCAGGGCTTTCTTAATGAAGACATGAAGCGAACAATAATTCCCATTCATTGGCTCTCTATGCCAAAGACAAAAAAATGTTTCTAATCATGAGGTGAGTAGGGGGGGAAAATGGCACGGTCAGAGTATAGCCCCTTTGTTTGCAAATTTCATGCCCATCCTCCTCTCAAGAGCACCAACTTCGGATCACGCATACACCAAAACGATGGGGAAATTAAGGCAGAAATCAGAAAACATGTACAAAACCTTGACGTTCGGGTACCTTTAGCCCAGCATATTGGAAATGGACTACAGCCGCTCCTCTCCATATACGTAACACCTGCTTGTTTCTGGGCCTGCTGCCCTGACAAATCCAAGAGCCACATACACACAATTGTGCAGGGGTCGTGCCAGGCTCCGGCGGCGTTACAATGATCCAATTCAGCTCTCTCCAGTAGTATTGACTCCTGGGGGAGGGCTGGGAAGTCTGCCACTTGAATGGATTCGGCGACGACAGCAGCAGCAGGAGGAGGAGGAATCCCGGCTAGTCTCTTTTCTTCACTTTGGTGCAAAGGTGTAACTCAAAACTGAAAAAGAACAACCTCCCCCTCCTCGCCAGCAGCCAACCCCTTCCTGGGCGATCCGGCAGCAAGGAGGATATGGTCTTTCCGTTTCAAGAGTCTTCTCCTGCCTCGACCGACTGTTTCAAAGGGAGGCCACCTTTTCCCCTAGACAAGCAAGCAAAGGGAAGGCGACCAACCAGCCGCAATGTGACTGCCGGTGTCTCTATTCCTAGGTTGGTTGGGGGGGCAGGGGGGGGGAGGAGGTGGGGGGGGGAACTGGAGGGAGGAGGAAAGGGGGAGGGGAGGCGATTAGCAACAGCCTTATTAATATGCTAATCTCACCCTTCTGTTCAATTCACTCAGCAGCCTCCTGTTTACAAAACTGACAGCAGATTCTAAAACTGACCCGGGTTTCCTGGAGCTGCAGAAACTGCCCCCGGAACCACTCACTTTTAAATCAGTGCCTCTGGCTCCTGACCGACTTACCAGACGACGGGCAACTTGCAAGAAAGAAGAGAAGAAAAAGAAAAAGACTGGCAAGAAAAAGAAAAAGGGAAAAAAAGATTCGCTGATAGGAATGTGGAGAGAAGTCTGCAATAAACACGGGAAGGCTTAACTCTCCAACCGGAGTTCGTTTAAAAATGATTGCAAACTGCATTCCTTTCTAAGCACTAGACCAGGGATGTCCAACCTTGGCAACTTTAAGATCTGTGGACTTCAACTCCCAGAATTCCCCAGGCAGCCATCCTCTCCCAGGAATTCTGGGAGTTGAAATCCAGAGGTCTTAAAGCTGCTGAGGTTGGCCTCTCTTGCATTAGACTAGACTATATAGTTATTTCAAGATACTTTTAGATTTACAGAAATATAAGCAGTGATGTTTTTCTTTATTCAACAAAATATATGCACTAAGTAAATGCATGGAAAATGGGATAACAGATTTTTTTAAAATATCCCATCTTTTCTTTCCTTTGAGTGTAAACTACTGTTTAAAAACCTATTAAAGCTAGTAAAGGTCAAAACATGCGTATTACCTGCATGTAGAATACAGATTAAGATATATTTCATTTCCTTTAGGACAAGCGTAGGATTGCAGAATACGAATGATAAGTTATCTATGTATACACAAATCGGAATCTGATTACCAAAATATTTGGTTTATTCTTATTAAAAAGTATTCTAATAATGGAGGGATTCAAACAGCTTTCTTTTCTAGGCACCAAAAAGCATTTTCTCCACATTATATCTGTTATAGACATATAACAGTTAACCATTCTGTTTCTTGCTCAAAACGTGTTGACAGTGCTTTCCAGGTAAGTTGTGGTGATGTACAACTGATTGTTTCATCTAATTAACGATCATTTATTTAGCTTCAATCAACAATGTGGTTTCAAACCAGAGACAGCCAATAACAGCTTCTATTTGACATCTATGTATAAATTCATTTTTATCCTCTATATTTATCCAGTAGGCATTCAATGGCTGCTACTATCTTTCAGTTGAGTGAAAGTCAAAATATAAGCAACCATATGCAAGACAATTCGTCTTGCGACACAGATGGTCCTCAGTGGCAACCTGCTTAGCACCTGCTTAGGACTGCCACAAACCAGCCTCAGCTTAAATAAGATGTCAAGCATTTAAGAGTTTCGAATTCTAAGGCTGCCTACTGTAAAACCACATCTGAAGCTTGAAATGGATTAGAAGGATTACCAACAAACACAATCAGTTATAGGAATCGAAATGGCCGTGCAGGGTTGGGAGAAGAAGGAACCACAATAAGCAAACAGACTTAATGGCAGATTCACACATTCTAACCCTGATTCCTGTGGGAAGAGCTTGGTTTCGAAGGATCTTTTAAGGATTGAAGCTATATGGAAGGGGGGAATTTGCTCCAAGATGCAGCCACAAAGTACTCTACTATGGAAACGTCAGGGTTATGTAGTTCTTTGGATTCAAGGGAATCAAATGGCTTTGGGGAGAATATGGCTCCAGATGTAAGTCCCGCTGAACAATCCTTAAGTCAACAGTCTCTTCTCCCAGGTTCACACTGATTGTGCACAAGGAAACAACACAGCTGCTTTAAAGAGTCATGGATAGTGCCACATGGGGTGACTCCAAAGCACCTTTTTCTTTCAAATAGGAAGCACCACACGGTCCTGTCACTTAATATGAATTAACTTTGTAAGATGACAAAGATCGATGCATGGAAGAAGTAACAAAAATCAGCTGCAGGACAAATCTTGAGATCACTTACAGTTTGCAAACTGAGACTCTTGCAACGCTTCCGTGATATTAATTCCCCAGTACCGGAAAAGGGATAAGTTCCCTACGTGTTTCAGAATCAAAGCTATTTTTATTTTGTGTTTCAATTAGACTAACATTGCCTTCTTTCCTTCTCTCTAGAAACAGTGTTTATTTCTATCAAATAATTACACTCGCACTGAGCTTCCAGAAATACCATGCCAAGTTTTTAATACTGAAGATTGCGGGCAACGGCTAATGAAGATGGGAGTTCAGACCTCCTCCTAACAGATGCAGCCACAGACTTCCCCACCTTGCAGGGCTGGTGGGCTCATACGGAATTTTAAAAGTACTGTCATGGGCATTCTCACAAAATGACTTCCATAGTAGGGGAGGGGAGAGCTGTTCACTGTATTTGTTTTTGCTAATGTTGTTTTTATGCCTTGTTAGCCACCCAGAATCACAGTTGTGAGATGGGTGGAGGGAGGGAGGGAGGGAGGGAGGGAGGGAGGGAAGGAAGGAAGGAAGGAAGGAAGGAAGGAAGGAAGGAAGGAAGGA